AGCAGGTCAAGGAGCTGCTTACAAAAATACTATGTGAGGCAATATAGTACAAAAGTAAGACATTTTCTTGACTCTAAATTCTGGGAGATTGAAAATAGACTCTGATAGAAACAGAACACTTTGAGAAATAGAGCATGTGACTGTTCTGGGCACCTGATCTGACAACTTGAGTGGTGCTTTCTTCAGAGACATAATTGGCAGTAGATGATGGAGGAGAAGGACCAGGTTCTTCTAAGGAGCATGGCTACTGTAATAACTGCGGGAGAGAAATGATAGCTAAATACAGATAGGTTTCAATTTGCCATCTGATCCTTTACTTTCAGACTTGTAACATATGGGCTTCTGGCAAGCTATGGATATGCTGCAATAAGAAAATGGCTGGTATTCTAAAACTATACTATTTTTCTCTTCTCCCTATCAGCCTTCTGCTACGGTTCACAGATGATACCTTTGACCCAGAACTTGCAGCAACAATTGGTAAGTATGTACTGATGTTACTTGAGGAAAAACTTGTACCAAGTTCAGTACAAAATTGTAGCTTGTTCATGCTTGTGGAGCTGATAATGAAGTTCAGATGTGTCTGCTCTTCTGTAGGAAAAGAATGATGTGGGCTCAATTTTAGCCTACACCATTAATTGGTATGGAGTGTTGACCGTACCAGGCTGTAATGATCCCCTTAGTTGTCTTCTTTATGCAAAAATCTGTCCTTGTCTGGGGAAAAAGGATGTGAATGTCACCCTTCATCATGAAGGTGAAAGTCATGAGTGAACAGAGTGCTCTAGTAGAACAACTGCAGTTCACTGTTTGTCAGCATTTTGGGCTGAAATGGAGGTGTAAGAACAACTATTGTGTCTCCTGCTGATTTGTCTGTGGAAGATAGCTGTGAAGTTGTTTGAATAGTAATGCTGTCCAGAACCTGTATCATGATATGATACCTATGTAGCTGCCTTAAGAGGACTTAAGATAGATCCTTTAGAAAGGATGTTAGCTCTTGCAGCTCCAGAGAATACCATGATGTACTGGGCTCTGTGTGGCCTCTGCTGTTTTCCTATAGGGAGGAGATTACAATGTGACTTTTCCTCTCCTACTTAGCTAGACTTTGACGAAAAATGGAAGACAGCCAAGAATCTAGAGCCACTTAAAAAGTAGTGGCGTGTCATTGCTATGCTGGTATGATACCTACTAACAGTGAAGTCAATTGCACTAGAAGGGAGTGACCCAGAACGCAGGATATAGTATGTACGTGCTTGTGAAAGGAAGCAAAATAAACCTCTAAGCATGCTATGTAGCTATCTGTGCCAAATGAATTACTAAAATAATGGAAAAGAGAGAAACATTTCCACACAATGCATCCTAATTCTAAAACTTATTTCCTTTGTAGGAAGAGTTCTGGCTAAGGACTTGCATCATGGTGGTGTTTTTTTTTTTTTTTGCTTAAGTTCAGATGTTGGTAAACAGTCTGCCCTGCCTAACTGCTTAACAGAAGGGAATACGTTGGTTTATTTTTCACTGATGTTAGTAAGATATTATAGGGGTACTGTTTCATGTGGGATGTTGAGAAGCCTAGTTCATCAGATAGTATTAAGAAATATCTTTTCAGGCTTCTTCCAATTTGCCTCTCCCTTAAGTAGCTTCTATTGGCTATGACTACCACCTGAGAATCACTGGCATAAGCATATTAAGGTTGGAGAATGATCATTTGCAAAGACAATAAACAGGCATATGCTACTAAGTGCTCCTAAGGCTTTCCTGGTAATGTTGTATAACTTTCTGAGAAGGTGTGGATGGTTTGTTTTTAATAAAAAATCCAACTGATGTTACTGATGCAATAATACCAAGTGGCCCAGTTGAAATCAGGGTGCTGTTATATGCTTCTTTCTGTAGAAACCTGAAGACCGTGGTTTTGTTCTGAAGGTTTATCACTTCAGGAAAGACTGAAATCCACTTGTGGATGGAGATATTTTTTTCAAATATCCATAGCCTAACTTCGTAGGCCTGCCTAATAGGGCAGTGGCAAAATTTCAGAGATCTGTTATGGAACTTGTAAATGATAGCTTTCATGTGCCATCAAGCCTAAACTTAGTGCTTCATCAGCAAAAGAACTATTTTAATTTTTCCCAGAAAGGACAAAGCAATGGTTGGAGTTGCTGCTGCTTTCCTTTAACTAGTGTAGGCCATGAAGAAATAATTACTGGTTTGTGCACTGAGGATACAATTCCTGATGCAAGATAGCTTAAAATAAACAGATAAATTAGCATCTTCAGGTAGCTGTGTGTGACTACTTCGCCTTCAGCTGTGTTATGTACAAGATCAGTATTATCTCTGCCCAGTATTCACTTAAAGTTATTGAAATTAAGCTTTATGGTTAGTGTGAGACTTGATAGCAGTTAGTTAAGCTGTATAGTTATTCAGAGATCTATCCAATAGCTGGTTCTCTGGGCACCTATTCCAGTTGTGTGCAGGATCGCCATGGAGCCTGTCCTTTGGCCTCTAAATTAAGTTGATTAAAGAATACCTGGAAGAAGAATCCATTGTTGCATATAAGTAAGGAAAATTTGCTTCTGTAAGTAATATGAGTGTAAGTCAATTAAATTTGACTTTTTTGTGCTGGCTGTAGGGTATCTTTTTGTTTGATACCTTAGATGTGTCTGTCTAATATTTCTGTGCTTTTAATACCTTCTAGACACCTCAGCATCCAACACTTCCTTTATAGATATAATCATAAATGTAAGACTTGCCCATACATTAACCTCAAATTAAATGTCTTCTGTCCATGTCTGCCTTCATCTACAAGCATACAGTAATAAATACAAACAAAACGCTCTTCTTTCATGTGGATATTTACATCTGTTGAATGTGTCTGCATAGCAAACCCATCTCAGCTTGTAGTTGGAGAATCATGAGGAGAGTGGGGCAACAGTTAAGCTTAAGTGAGGAGCAAAACACATGACGTCAGGGTCATAGTAAGTAACATGCTCAAGTGAAAGGCTACATTTTGATTCGTAGTCCAGCTGATTGTTAAGTCCTTATACTTGCTAGCTTTAGAGGAAGGTTTGCTGTCTAAGAGACAGATAACATAATTAGTGTCTTTTTATAATACTGACATCAAAACCTAATCTGAAGAGTACTGAAGCTTTTTCATCAGTGCTGTTACATTAGTAAAAAAAAAAAAAAGTGTTGGTGATTAATGCTTTGCGATTTGGCGTAATTACATTATACCATTGTAAATTGTAAAAGCTCTTTAAGGCTTCAGAAAAATGACTATCAAACAGTAGCCATAATATACACATAAAAAACTACATTATTATGTTACTTCATAATGAAATGCAAATTTCCATGAATAAATGAAACCATGTTACAAGAAGAATTAGTCATGATGCAAGTTTGAGCCAAAAAGGGAGAAATAAAAGAATGTATGCAGTCCTTCAGTAGATTGAATGGTAGAATCATGATAGATTGCTAGGCTGAGCAGGTTGGTCCCACGGCTGCAGCGTTGGCTTGAGTCATAAATCTTCATTTGCTCATTTTCATCCCACTTAAAAGCTGCTGTTGTATGGTATTTTTCTGGGCTGGGAGTACATAGGGGGATTTTTGCAATTTGTTGATTATTGCATGGGTTTATTTTTCTCCGCTTCCCAGTTGATTCAGTCTTGCTGGGGTTTGTCCCTGGGAACTAATCACCAAAATGAGAACTGGATTGTCGTGAGTACTGGGTCCTTTACCATGCCCATCCTTTAGGATAGGGAAGCCTCCTCTCTTCTGGACTCTGAGATATAATTGGTGCTCTCTATGCATGGCATATCTGCTCTTGTATCTCTTGTAGTGTTTGCCCAATAGAGCATCTGCCTCTTCCCAGCTGAAGGGAGGAGCATGGCCTGTTTTTATTCTTTCCATTGCTTTTGACAAAGGACCTGAGGAAGTAGCCTTACCCCAGTTCTTGAGGGAAGAGGATAGAAGGAGGCAGGGCTGGAGCAGACTAGATGGTCTAGTGATGAAGATGGCAACCTTGTATCCTAATCTCATTTTGAATATACTTAGAAGCACGTTACTGCCTTGGTATGTCATCGATGTGGGCCAGGCAATCAGTGTGGAATAGCTATATTAGCTCTGATATTGCATATACCAATAGGCTAGGTCAGTCTTAATTTGTGCATCTTTATAAATGGGTTGTTCTCATTCGGCTGCTCTTACATAGCCTTTTTACCAACCTCAAAAACTGACATCAGTGAACTATTTGTGAAACTAAGTAATCATTTCCTGAAGTAATTCTACCTCTTTGGGGTTTGTCAAAATACAGAACAGCATGTGTGGTAGCTAATTATTGGTAATTAAATAGCAATACCTCAGGGTTTACTGCTGGCAGAGTAAGATGTCTGTCTTATGCGGAGAGGGAGAAAGAGTATTCAATAGGAGTGTTAGTTGAACAATTTAGAGTTTGAGTTCTGAAACAAATATGCTAACCTGGAATGTACATTGTCATTTGGCAGAAAAGAAGAAAGGAAAGTTCCAGAGACTGAGCAAATACTGCCCTGGATCACTGTAGCTGTTAGGCACCTCCAACTGATGTTTGTAGTAGTATCATGTAGTAGAGCTAGGAGGGCCCCAACTGTCTAAGTCCTAGAGCATGGTATGTGGAGCATTTGTATGAGAAAGCAGGGGTGGGCAGGTGGGTGTAGTGGTGTTGTGGTGTGTGATTTTTTTTTTTCTTTTTTTTTTTGTTTTCCTTTTAACAGGAAGGGGAATAGAACCTGGGCTTTGTTTTTCCCTTTTTAACTACTAGGCTGTAGCAGAGAAGATGACTATAGCATTTCCATCTTTTCTGGTGAATGTATTATTGAGAGGCACTATGTCAGCTCTAAATTTAGAACAGGATTTGTGATTGTCCATATAGATAAAATAAATATTTGGAGTGAGGTCTTGGATATAACATTTTCCTATTGCATGAATCGCAGAATAGTTGGAAGGCACCTCTGGAGGCTGTGTGGTCCAGCCCCAGGCTTGAGCAGGCTCAGCTAGAGCGGGTTGCCCATAGTTGTGTCCAGTCAGGTTTTGAGTATCTTCAAGGATGTTGATAATCTGCAGACAGATTCTAGGTGCCAAGTTCAAACCTTTAGTCCTTTAACGCCATTGGTACATTCTAACTGTTGATGTGGTTGAGGTGACTATAGTTTTTTATTTGAGTTAGGAAATGATGAGATGCGTATGCTATAGGTAAGAATGACCTAATGAGTAAAGCCTTAACTGCAGCATAATTGGTCCCTTGCAATGACCCATTGAGACATAAAGATGCCTTATCTTTGTAGCTTGTGCAAACCTACAGCTAGTAGGTTCAATTTAATATTAAAACCTAATCTTTCAGTTTTTTTGTCAGGATTTTCTAATAATCCTATGATATTTTCAGGAGCGTGAACAGTTTTGAATGGACAAATCCTTTGACTCCTGATAGCTGTAGTTGAACTAACTGTGTCTTACTCTTTTCTCCTACCAGATCACCTGTCTCCTCCTTGCATTCTCTTGAGGCAGATTAGTTCAGTGCTTCATCACGAGGAGCTTGTCACACTGTACCCCAGTATCATATCTGTCCTTACTGCTTGTGCTTACTTGCTTGTTCTTTGTGTGAGAGCTTCTGGATAAATTCTCAGTGCGATACTTATTTCATAAATGAAGCAATGTATTGCATGGATATTTATATTTGCATCTGATATCTCTTAGCTTTTTGGCTTTCCTTGCACTTGAAGTCTTGCAACTCTTAGCTGACCAACTTGCCAGTTACCTACAACACAAATAATACACTCCCGCTGATGTTGCACTTGGGATAAATTCAATGTGGCTTACTGGCCTGAATGCCAGAGCAGCATGACAGTGACAGAACTGATTCTTCCAGACTGTAGGTCTGTAGTATGTTAGCATGCAGTGCTGAGTCTGGTCGAGGCAGTAGGTGTCAACACACAGGAGCATAATGTAATAGTACTTTTTTGTTTCTGGCTACGTTCCAAGGCGCAATAGAAAGCGCTGTCAGCTTTCTGTTATCAAGGCCAGAGCTGTAACTTTTCTTGCAAACTCAGAACTGACGTTTGTCACATGAGCAAGTCTGTGCGTTTCACTGAAGTTTTTAGAGAATGTAACTACTCTGCTTGTTTGATTTAGTGAGATTTTCTTGAGCTCTGCAGTTCTCCGTTTGTCCTCTTGGTGCAGCTGATTATCAGAGACCTAGTTATTCAAACAGCCTTTCTTCCTTAACTGGTTTTTGCATGTGTTGAAATCCTTGCCATGCTGGAATTATGTTTGCTGCTTCTTGATCACTTTTCAAAGGATATATCTTATATGCATTTAGCTAAATTTCATACTCTTATTTAACCAATCTGTAATGCATGGGATTTGTTCAATATTCAAATTTGGAATGAGCAATACAAGTAAATTAAGAAACTAGAAGTGATATTTTTTAATGTTGCTATCAGTTTAGAGTTAAAAGTGTAAGCGTATCTTCTATTCAATGAAAACTGCATAACTGTCTAGGCACAAGGTGTTATTTCTGTTCACTGAGTGGGAGCAGGATACCCTTGCTTCAAAACACAGCTAATAAAATTTACTTTAAAAAATGTTTTTCTTGAAACTACTGTGAATTCTTTTTGATTTGTTACATTCTATATCTGATAGACTTGTAACATCAGTAGCTGTTGATGTCAGACTAATGGATGAAAAGAATGCACTGAGCTATTGAAAGTACTGGCTGAGCAATGATATTTTTTACAGTTTAGTAACAGAATTATGCAATTACCGTTTAAAGCACAGAAAAAAGTCTCTAACTTTTCTGAACTTAACTCTGGAATAATACACTTGGACATGGCGCAAAGCACTGTTATTACTACTCAGTCGTGGATTAAGAATCTCAGTCTCTGACAAGTTAGAATTCTGTTCAGTTAGTGCAAAAGTTAACATGCATTGTCAAAATTGTGCTTGAAACTAGAGTATTGCCTTTTTCCGGTGTAAAATGCAACCTGAAAATCATAATTCATTAGGTTTTAACCTGTTTTTGACACTTCAGGGAAACTAGCTACATATCCAGAAACATATCGACTTTCCATGCTACTTTTGAGTTCATTTCAAGACTACTGCTTGATGGGGAATATGGGTCACCCCAAACTAATGTAAACCTACTTTCAGTTATTTGCTATCAGCAACCTAAAGATTAAACTGCAGTAAAATGGAACGTAACATAACTATACCCAGTCTCAAACTGCTGTGTGTTGCTGTATCCTTTAACTTTGTGCAGTCATTAACATCTTCTTGTCCTCCTTGGCTTCGGTTTTGTGCAGCTTGTTCTTGAGCAAGCAGAAGGCTGTTATTTATTTCTTCTTTACTGAAACTAATCCTCATATGTTGAGGTAGGTAACTGTTACAACAACAGAACCATTACCACATTGCCTTTGTGCTTCTCACTCAGTGATTCCCTGTAAGATGCATACTTCATGTAACCCAAAGCTTATTTAACAGATCTTTGCTAGAAGGACTACTGTTACCTAATATTTCTTGCAGACAGAGGTCATGTATTAGGTGAACCTCTGTTCACACCAGTTTACCTCAGGCTAACCACCTTGATGAGATTTAGTAAGTTGTTCCAAACGATTTGACCGCTTGCTCTGTTTCCATGTTGGAATGTTGCTTCCTCCTTTATTTTGAAAGTATGTTGTTCTTCAAGACCACTAACTTGCCCAAGATGGTAACACATGTGTGAATAATGAATAGAGTTAAACCATTTGAATGGTAAACTTGAATATTTGTCCGGGAATACAGTGCTTTAATACAGGAGATATGGTACTTGCCTCACTTCTGTAAAGTATTTGCTGAGTCAATGGCCTAAAAGGTCCTTGGGCTTTTGCAAAAGCCTTTCATCTGCAAAACCTTATGAGTTTTGAGAGTAAGTTTTGTCAGTTACTTCTAAACCTTATTCATCTTATTCTTGTCAAAGCACAGATTGTTTTGAGTTCTCTCTTGCTTTTTCTTTTTACTTTCTGCTGTAAAAATGACTGTAGCATATGCTTGAGGAACCAAAATATTTTTCTTTTTCTAGGTGTGGACTTCAAGGTGAAAACTATTTCAGTTGATGGAAATAAAGCTAAACTGGCAATATGGGTAAGTTCCCCCCCCCCCCCACAAATCCCCACATTTGTTTCTTTTTTCAATAGTTATGGTTTGTATAGTGTAGTTGGACTCGTATAGGACTAGTATCTATCTTTCTAGTTTAATATGAAGTCAGTTTAGGGGAGTGAGAGGTTAATACTGGACTGTTCAGAAGGTGGAATAACTGTGGGACAGTTCACTGATATAGGCAAAAGATTTGCCCTCAACTTCCACAACGCTGATTCTGTGTCTGGTTTGGATGGGAGAGGAGAGAGGAAGAAAGAGAGGAAGAAATAAACTAAACTGATCTAACTTTACAAACGTGATTGTGGTCATTCCTAGACTTTTTTTTGTGTGTAACTCACTGCTCAACTCCCAAGGACTTACCTGCCTGATATTACATCTTTAATAGAACATTTGAAGAGTTTGGGTGTTGCCATTACTGCTCTAAGATTTTTTCCAGTGTACCTTATTCTTCTCTGTGCCTGACAGTTTGTTTTTTTTTTTTAAGGGTGCACTTTTTAACAAGCACTTTCAGCAAAACATAGTATGCTAGTAGGTTAAGAATTGTTGTGTTGCATCCTCAATTTATGCTCAGAAGTTTTAGCTAAAAATTGTTTAGAGAGATAATAAACTTCTCATTAGAAGAGAGGCTTGTATATGCTCTAGTTCAGTGTTACTTAACTGATGCAGCTGAAAGAGGGAGAGGCAACATTTGTGATGTTAGCCTTAGAATGCTCAGCATCTCCTCTAGTTAAAAGTAGTACTTCTGAATTCATGGCAAGGATGAAAAAGTACTTCCAGACTTCTGTTTTTTATTTTATTTTGCTATTCTCTGGTCTGCCAACTGGCTTTCACGTTTGTGCACTTTAAAACGTGTTTTGAGTATTCTCACTCAAGTGTGACTTCTTGTACCAAGCTGGAATAAAATCTTGTTTCTCATATTATCAGGATATCTGACCTTTGCTGCTTGGAAAGAAGTAGTGGAACATGAAGTTCATGTTACAGTTCTTCCTTTGCTTTGACAGTGCTTCAAATCTCAAGTAACAAACAGGACTTCTGACTTAGCAAGACAGCAGTAACCATCACAAAAATGAATGGGTTTGACAGGGAAAATAGTTGCAGCAACTTCAGAGACGTCTAGACGTGTGGGAGGAGAAAGGGAGGGAGCAGAAAAATCGGCAGTCCTGGGGCAGAAAATACTACATAGGCCTCCTTTAGGGTTTATCTTCTTTCCTGGTGGTGAATAATCTCTCTCCTCATGAAGGAATAATTCTATGAGGTAGATTGGAAAAGAAAAGATTGTAAAGGCGTACCATGACAGAGAACCAGTTTGAGACAGAGGTTGATAGAGTTGTAGAAAGCTGGAAAGCCTAGTTCAGATACTTAGGCCCTTTGTGAGGGAACCATTTTGAACCCATATTTTGTTACATGTGTTGCAAAGGTTATGGGATTGTTTGTTCCCTTGACATTTATGTTCAGTTGACAAAAATGAGAAACTGGACAGCAGCAAGCTTCTAATCTGGGTAACTTGGATCAAGCTGTTGAAGTCTTTGATGCTGAAGTCTGCAACATGTATATTGCTGGGGTAGCCTGCACTATAGCTTAGCCTCAAAGAGGACGTCAGCTGCCTTATACTTGTTTTTGTAGAGCTCTTGACACTGTAATGTATTTGAGGATGTAAATCCAACTTTACTTAAAACCTAGAAAAACTCTAATCTCTTCTCTGTCGTGGCATGTTAAATGCATTTACTCTGGCTCTGAATCAAACTTAATTGAAGATGATGCTATTAAAAGTTGGGGGACTGGTTTTCTTGCTGCAGATGCTGATGCTTGTTAAAAAAATCTTAAGCAAGTGTAGCTGCAGCACTAGGTTTATGTAGCTCTACAAGCTACAGAGCAACTGCTTCAACAGAAATAACTACCTTATTGCCATGTACTCCTGTTACTCACTGCACTTAATAGTTTAAAGCTTTTTCCCGGGACAGACTACATAGAGTCTAAAGCTCATGTGCAGTAAAATGACAGGGGAGGCTATAAATTCAGTTATTCCGGTAGTTATGTATCCTAAATGACTTTGAGTCTTTTTTGTGTGTGTGTTCATTAGAAGCAGAATACTTGTGAGAGCTAAACTAGATTCTGCTAAAATTTTGAATAATGGAACTTTCTGAATGGCTTTTTAGGATACGGCAGGAAGGTTCAGAACACTAACACCCAGTTACTACAGAGGTGCACAGGGTGTTATTCTAGGTAAGTATAACTTTGTATGCTATTTTGAATAACGCATGCTGGTTTTCCAGTGCATTTGAGTTATATGAACTCTGTGGAACCTTTCTGTAATACCTATTTGATGTTAAAATGTCTGTTTTTTAATGCATCTTGAGTTTGATGTCTGACCCCTTTCTCATGCGATCTATCTCACCAGTCTGAGAACCACTGATTTAGCATAATCTAGAAGCTACTGTTTTTTAATGGATAGCTTGAACTTGTCCATGTACTGCTAAGACTTTGCAGTTTATTTACTACCTCTACTTTTTGCCTGTACTTAGTAAGCCTAGAGTCAAAAGACTTTCTTTTATCCTCAGAGAGTGTTCTTTCCCAATGGGTGTGTATGCAGCCTTCTCTTTTCCTTCCCCCATTCTTTCTTCCTAATGAAATTACTGTAAACATTCTGGAATCTGACCTTTTTTTATGTTTCTGTACTCATGGGGTATTACACTGTCAAAGTAGCTTAGAAAGGACTAGCTGGGAGTACAAAATCCACTAGTCAGTGGAAGAAACCCAGGCCAAACCCCATAATTGCAACCATCTATTGAAATATCTCTTGCTTTTCTTTTGTATATGAAAACCTGTCAACTGTGCACTGGGCTCAAGTTCTGCTTCTCCCTTGTTAGAGTTGGGGGGTTAAACTAAAGAATTTAAGGGTAGAGAAGGTTGAGTTTTTTTTGAGGTGGTTGTTGTTTTAAGTTGCCTCTGACTTCAGAGGATTCTTGATGAGGCTAACTGTACAATTACTATATCTGGTTAAGCTCTTAACTTGAAATAACTTGTTGTGAAACTGTTCCTGGTAGGTTTTGTTTTGTGTGTACTGTTTCCTGACTTTGAGATGCATTATCTCCCAGGTATAGGGAGAGATGCTGTCGAGATGTGTCTTGTCAAGTCATTTGCTTCCAATTCCTCGAACTTAACTTGCTGCTGACTGTTGAGCACTCTAAAAGTAAACAAACACAGTTTGGGAGCCAGCAAGTTCTGCTATTGAGATTGCTCTCTAATTTTTTTTTTTAAATAATCTCTTCCTGATTCTGTCTGTTAAACAACTTTCTAAAGATAAGGTTATTTGTTCAAGCCAAGCAGTAGGTTTGATTTAAACCAGCTTCTTATGCCAGCCTGGCCATGGGAAATGCGAATATGAAGAAAAGAGTTCTGTAGCTTGAAATGGCATCTATACTAGCTGTAAATTTAGATAGTCACCTTGGTGGTAGCTTTTAAAGCTAACAAGATCTGCTTTTTGTCTGCAGCTTCTGCTCTTAGCTTGTCTTATTGCTTACACCTTACACAAATACTAAATAATTTGAAGTGCTAAAATACTAAGAAACCTACACTAGGGTTTAGTAGTTCATTGTGTTTTTTTTTTGAGGACCAGATGATAGCCAAAAAAAAAATTTATTTTCTTAACTAAATGTATAACACTGTTGCTGTGTTACAGAAGTCTTAATTATCACAAGTGAGAGAGGGGGACTCAGTGCAGAGAACTGTGTTATCATTTTGGCGTATCTTGTGCACAATGTTGTTATTAGTGAGTATGCTACACCAGAGATCTGCCAGTATATAATTCTCTGGGGAATAGTAGTCTGTAGCCTGCAAACTAGATTGTCTAAACATAAATTGGTCTGAGAACAGCAGATCACCAAATACTCAAGTCGCTCAGCATTAGTGACATCAGTGGTTGCTGGAATCCATGGGACTCCTCTTTGTTTTTCTATTCAGAAAGCCATCATTTTTGCTCATTTTGTAATGAAAGCTGTGTTTCTTGGAAAAAGTTGCAAAATAATATTGCTGATGTCTTTCAGTTTATGATGTCACAAGAAGAGATACCTTTGTCAAGCTGGATAATTGGTTAAATGAATTGGAAACGTACTGCACCAGAAATGACATAGTTAAAATGCTAGTTGGAAACAAGATTGATAAGGTAAACTGAATTCAACTGTGAGTAGTCTGTTACTATATATTGGTCATAGTACGTATTAATATTATGTCTTGTTGTAGGAAAACCGTGAAGTTGACAGAAATGAAGGTCTCAAATTTGCAAGAAAACATTCCATGTTGTTCATAGGTATGTTACGGATACTTACAGAGATAATCTTGATTATTCCGTTACGTAACGAAAACTCTCACTTCTGCAGGACTCTTGCTAGTCTTTATACATACAGTCTAGTTAATGATACCTCTCAGCAGCAGTAACTGCAAGGGTAATGGGTATTCTCATCTTGTTTAAGATAGACTAGAAATCTGGACGTATTTAGAGACAAATTGTGGATGAGTACCCTGAGGTGCAAAAGGATTAAGGGTGGAATACTGGTCTTATTGTGATCTGACACAACCTGTTTTAGCTTTTTTGAAGTTCTGGTTATTTGTTTGATCTTCCAGAGCTAGTTGCTGAATTAACAACAAGCAAAATGAAAAATGGAAAACTGGTACTAATGGCCAACTTTCAGTATGGCAAAAGGGCTGGTACTTGACAGAAATCTGCGTTAAGACTGGGATGTAAAAATAGATAGGAATGTTATTAACTTGTAACATGGGTGGGATGGAATAGTGATGATCATGACTGGAGGAAAGATGTCAGTATCATCTTGCTCCAAAATGAGATGGGTCTGGTAGTCAAAGCTTTGTGATGATGAGTTGAAGGAGGTGGTGAAGTGACTTTTCATGCACAAGTTTATTACCCATTTCATTTAAGGATCAGCAAGGATTACTTTAAAGAATGACTCCAGTGGCAAAGCAGTTCATCAAGAGTTTCTGTACTTTAGACGTGTGTTCCTCCTATCTGTTTAATGATATATCTGTCTAGTACCTTGCTGTGTGTGTTTCTGGCCACAGTGTCAGATGTGGAAATGGAGGGAAGTTTGAAGTCGGGGCACAAGCTGTTAAGTACATGAAAGATGAAAAGAAATGAGGCTTAAAATATAAATATAAATATATATATATATATGAGCTAGATATCTCCAGAGCTGTGTACAGGAGCAGGGCAATCTCTAGGGGAACGGAACAGTTACAGTTTGCGTTCATAAATACCCAGCGAACAAAAGTTTCTCTGGCTTTACTAAAGTAAGGATCCTGAATGAGGTTAGCTAGAATTCTGTTAAGGGATCTCATTTGTTTTGCAATTATTACTTTGTTGCTGGATGAACTATATCATAGAGGCTGATGCAGAATCGCATGCTACAGAGTTGCTTGCTTTTTGTGGTCTGATAGTACTGCAGAACTGAAATATGGAACAGTGGCCAGGTTCATCAGACACCTTGAGGTGGTAGAGCCTAACTTTCTACTGAAATGCTTTCTGCATGTTTATAACACTTAAGTACCAAGCAGATGAAAATAAAGCTAGGGTATAGTTGTCTCAATGTAGTCCAGTGATGTTCATTTTGGAAGCCATTTTTTATAGGAGAGTCTTTGAGTTATTGCCTCTTGTGGCAATAAGAATCTGCATATCTGCTAATTTTGGTATGGCTGCATTACTGTAAAATGTATTGTAGAAGTTCAGTGCTGTGTTCTGCAGCATAGTGGATCTCTTCAACTGTTAAACTTGCTGAAAATTATACTAATGATGAAGATATCAAAGCTTATGATGGTGTACAATTTGGTGTTAACAGGCTCAAATTCTAGAATCAATATAGAAAAATACATCAGGAAGTTGTGAATAAGTTGAGGTTGTAGGTTAAGACTTAACTTGTTCAGTAGTTCTTTCAGTTATTGGTGGAGGCTATACTAACATCTGATTTCTTGCATCCCTTCTCCAGAGGCAAGTGCAAAAACATGTGATGGTGTACAGTGTGCCTTTGAAGAACTTGTTGAAAAAATCATTCAGACTCCTGGACTGTGGGAGAGCGAGAGCCAAAACAGAGGTGTAAAGTTATCAAACGAGGAAGAAGGATATGGAGGAGGAGCATGTGGTGGATACTGCTCTATGTTATAAACTTTGGGAAGCTTATTCTTTGCATATTTAAACAGATAGTGACATCTTTCTGTAAATAAATTCATTAAATGCTATTTTTAGGGACCTTGCAGTTTGCACATATTTGTTTTGTATCATGGCAGTGAACACTTGTAGGAAAAATGTTCTGCAGCTTTCCCAGTTTGAAAACGTTGTGGTAAGCATGCCCCATTTGCAATCTTCAGATTTTTATAAGTAGCATAAATAATGTGCAAGAACAAATGCACTCAGGATTTTATGCCCATATACATTCATCATGTAACTACTCTAAACAAATCCATCTAATACGTGGATATTACTGCATTATCTGCTTTTTGTCTCATTTTTAAATACTCTTGAAATTATAAAGCTATATAGTATGCACAGATCCTGAAAACCGTGCGAGCTATAAATACTACATTTCATCTCTTCCGGTAAATGTTTTTTATGATATTAAAAATGGCACGATTATACAAGTCTTAGACAAGTCTGCTAAATTTTTGTCTTTCGGCAGAGCTGTCTAAAATAGGAACTGACACAGGTCATAGTTAATTTCAGCACCTTTTTGAAGAGATACTTTAAAAGCTTCCTTTGCAAAGCTGGGGGATGCCCTTTTTTTCTTTTTAATCATCACTTCAGTTGACTGCTTAACTGGAGTTTTAATCCTGTGATATTTATATACTAAATTCATGGTACTCTTGCACTCTAGGTTTTTATGATACAATCTACTCTAGACCTGCCACAGAAAGTCTTCATTTTTGGCGAAGGGTTTGAATGACATCCTTGTTCTTACATTGTGAATCGATTCGCCACACTTCAGTACAGACACCTGGTTTTCCTAAATGTTTGTAGTGTAACTTAATCTCAAACTGTAGCTCACTATGGCTATGAAGAGCTGTATCACGTCTGCTTTGTGTGGCTACTTGTTCAGAAATATAACTTCCTGTCCCAGTTACTAAATGGGAAGTTATACAGCTTTTGGATCTCTGTATGGAAAATACTACTGCAATGAGTATTCACTTGAATTTACTGTAACGAAGCCAATGGTTTGTTTCGGAAGACTTGTATAGACTAATAAATTTTTTTTTCCACAGTATTCAACTTTTCTAACCTCTTCCTATTGTAGAGTTGTATATTTTCTAGTACATACAGTTTTAAAAAGGTCACTTTTTAAAGAGGGATTATTTCTGAAGGATAAGATGAGGATGCCATGTTAATTTAAAAAAAAATCACTATAGTGCAATGGGTAACTGCACTACTGGGCAGTTTCTTGTAAATATAGTGAATTTACAGTACCTTTTATTACAGCAAGGTTTTGTGTACATGTCAGCACACATGATATGTATTTTGCAGCGGGTTTGGCTGCATATGTTAAAATTCACTTTATTCTTCACATGGGAACTTTTTCTATTCTGTTTTACACTCGCTGGAAAACAATACCAAAATCTGAAGACCTAACCATGCTAGTTGTTTTTAACCAAATATTGTATCTATAGTATTGTTAATGTAGTAGGATAATTTAAATATGTAAATGTAATTAATATTGAATACACATATATGTTGTATTAAAGTGTTAGATTTTTATTACTGTTTCATGATACAGCATATGTGGGCTAAGCAAGTCTTACTTGTTAGTATTGAGGTTATTGTGGATTTGTCTTGTGTAGGCTAGCAGCTAGAGAGAAGCTGTAGAAGCATTAAAACATTGAACAAGTGGCTGTTATTTTAGTATTATTTCAGTAATACTGGGCAAAGTGTCATGATGCTGGCAGATGCCTGTAACTTGTTTCAGTTTCTCATGAAAGGTCCTTTTATCGCAGGACCTGGATTCATCTTCCATTCTGCCTTGGCCAGTTCTGACAGCTTCCCTTTCCAAAGGAAGGAACTGCAGACTACTGTGAATAGCGGGTATTGTTCTGCAAAAGAATCGGGTCACTTGCTCACTCTTTGCCTGCAGATTTTTTTGGGGAGGATTATCTTGAACAGCATATTGAGTTAGACTAAAAACACTTAGCATGATCTCTTTATATTTTTATTTCACTGTTTTAAGCAAACATTTTCTAATTGAGTTGCAACTTTTCCATCTTTCTCCTCTTTTAAGCATGTTTAGTTACATACCTGAGGAATGATTGGCCTCTCCTAGAGTCTTGCCTCCTTTCCCTGTTGCTCTCTCAAGCTGGGTACTGGGGGTTGATGTCCTTTGCTTCCAATACTTGTTAGAGCAAATATTGCCTTATTATTCTGATATTTTGTTAACTCTTGCTGAGACTCAATTTTTTTGGGCTGCCATCTTTTAGATGACTGTGTCTCTACTCTCAAAACTGTTTTTCCTCATAGCAGTTCAGCATTTTATCACCATTTTCTTGAAGTATGCTTCCACTGTTGTGACTGTAATATAAGCATCTCTAGAACTAGTGCTAGCTGTATCATAACCTCTGCTTAACACTGACATAAGGCTTTCTTTGCTGTGAATATTGGATATCGCTGTAAGAAAAGTAGGCAGGAGAGATTCTTTGTTCGGTCTACCTCATTTGGCAGCTGAGGGATAATGGGGGATTGCTATTGTTCGTTTTTCATCAAGTAATGCAAATGTGTCTGCTTCTGTGGCAATAGTTTTATACCTTGTTTTATTTTAGTATTTTCTTATATCTGAGACGTTTCGTATAGTCAAGTTATTTCCAGTTAATTTACTACATCTCTTCAATATTAAAAATCTTGACTTAACAACTGGGTTGTGGTGGCTGGCAGAGATTGTCCATAGCCTTTTATACTAGGCTGGAAGAATATGGCAGGACAGTTGCATCTTCTCAAAATTGGTACTTGAATATGACTGAATGTTGGTAGAATTTTTGTCTTGGATTTCTTCTCCCTTTTTAAAAAAGGGAAATGAGGTCTTCTGATGAAAACTTCAAGATACTCTTTTTATTTCATGTTCTTGTTGGTTGGGCTTTTATCCAAAGGACAGCATCACTTTCCCACTCTCCTGCTGCAGTAATGAGATTTTCAGCTGGCTGAAAGTAAGTCTTAACAAAATGAAAATGAGTTCAGTAAGTACCCAAGCAATACCAGCAACTGTCTCCTCAAACTTGGCACAACTTCAGGAAGCGGTGCTCTTTTTCGCTGCCTTTACGTACTGTAGTGGCAACTACGCTATATGCTTCATTTCATTAGTCTCTTTGTCTGACAGTAATCTAAAGGTTATATAGTGAACTACAATAATCCTTATAGTCCTGTCCTACAGCTTTGTGCAGTATAATTGATGTGTTGAGGCTGAACTGTTTGGTTTTTTTTTTTAAAATAAGCACTTCAGGTGAAACTTGGCCAACCTGTGTTGTAATCAGCACAGGTTACTACTGTTTAGCTAGTGGAGAACTAATTTCAGTGTTCAGGGCACTGCATCTAGTCCATCTGTGCAATCTTGTTCAAAGCTCCTATAATTTTTTGTTGTCTCACTGTCTGTGATGGAGGTGTCAGGAATCAACATTAGCATGAACGGGAGTTCCTTATGTTGCCAAATAAGTCATTCTGTGGTGCATAGAACTCCTTGAATCTTCAAGGGCAAAATACAAGGTGTTTTCTCCTGGTCGTTTTCCAACAGCCTTAGCATTTGGGAAAAGAGGGCTCTCCATTTAGAACTGTGTTGGTTTTGTAAAGTTTTCCTGTACCACCTTTTGAGTACCTGAGGCACCTTAATTAATAATTAGTGAAGGGTTATACAGGCAAAGAACCATAAAAGAATGTTTCTAAACCTACTGCGTGTTTGCCATCTATGGCCAATTTAAATGTGAGAGTAAGAAGTCTTGTCCTTGTCCTTGTGCCAGGGTAATGTCTGATCCTTTTCTTTTAAGCTAAAATGGTCACGGTGGTTAAACTACTAAAGACTTTTCTGGTGCTGCTAGTTTCTCTAATATCTATGCATATTTAGAACAATTACAGAATTCCTAGTAAACTTCTGGAACTTGTCTGTGTGTGGACTGGGATGATCAGCTCTAGATTTACTTGGTTCTGGTAACATATCCTCTGATGGGATCTTTTTGACAGGAACACTTGGTTCCCAGTCTCATGCTTGTTAGGCTGAGCTCTCTGATCTGAGGAGCGGGGCTGTCGTGATGTTTGTACTGTGAAACTTGTTCTTCAGCGTATCTGGAGCCTGAGCCACTCGTAGCTTCTTAATATTAGGAGCAAAGTCTTAAACTGGTATTCTGAGATTCAGGGAAGAGAAGAAATGATGGCTCAAATTCCAAAGGCGGTTAGTCTTATTTTATTTTGGTTAGAGGCTATGCGTTGGCGCTGAGCTTCAACCTCAAATGTAACATTATTTTAATTTAGGATGGATATTGCAAAGATGCAAAGCCTGTGGCTGGGTCTCATCCAAAAGAGAAGAGTGAAGGATGTCTGTATGTGCTGGAAGCAAAAGTTGCACTTTATGTGAGGTTTGTTGGGCATGTCTTATGGGTAAGTAGAGATTTCATGGTGAAGCCATGATTTCTAGTGTGTATATGTAATTTTTTGCTGGTCATTCACTAGCTAGGAAAAGATGGGTTATATAAAGGATCCCCTTCACTATGTGTGCTCTTTATGTATAGATGGAGGCCAAAGGGGTTAGGAAATACTGAAAAATACTGAAAAATATGACAGTTGCTGAGTTCTGTTAAGTTAATGCATCCATAGTTGTTGTTTTTATGTTGGCAGAATAGTTACCTTCTGTCAGGAAGGGTGGTTGTAACATCTTAGACTTTTTTTGTATTGTTTCTTTGGTAAAGAAAACATAGGAAAATACTGGCTTGAAAATGAGAGGATTGCTTTTAAAAGTTTAGGAATCTTCATCTCACCGCAAGATTGTGCTTTGGAGTGCTGCTGTCAATGTTGTTAGCAAAGTCCTTCTCAAACTGAACTACCCAAACGTATGTAAATACGTGGGTAACTGTTTTAGAATGAGTTTGAGTAATTTCCTTTTGGAGGGACAGGGATGCTAGCCAGAGAAAAAGGTGCTGTCAGTGGTAACAGCATATAGCTTTCTGCTCATATGGAATTCTACGGATACCAACTTCCTTTCCCTTCCCCCAGAGTTTTGATCTGTACTGAGAGTCTGCACTTTGTGCCTTGAAACTCTGGATCAGGTCTGTCCCACAGCATGGGCTGGCCATCTTGTTTCCCCAGTTGCTTGCACTGAGGATCTAACTGGGATATTACTCAGCTCTCATCTGACCTGTGTGCTCTAGCTTCCTTCCTCCTAGAAGCCAGGCAGGAGGTGAAGGTGCATATCTAGTTTTCATCCTGAAACGGAATTGAGGGGTAGCAGGGACATAAGGGCGTGGAAGCAAGAATGCCCTCCCAAGTGGCAGAGGTTAAATGCAGCCAAAGGGAATGCAAGGCAGGGTGGGGAAGTGTGTGTGTGGGGGGGGGGGTGGTGGTGTTTTATGTGTGCATTTTTTTTTTTAAAACAACTTTTTAGTCAAGTTTGAAATAATGATCTTTCAAATAGTTTGTCATGTAATCCATTGGAGGGCTAAGCAGCGTTCAAGCCTTCACAATAATGCATGAATTAAATTAAAAAGAGGTACTGGTTTTCAAGACTGCAAGCATTATTCATATGGTTTTTCCTGTAGCTTTACAGTGTTTGAAGCAAAGCTTGTAGGGAGAGAAAAACTTAGTAAAACAGCAGATCTAGTTGGAAAAGACAGATAAGCGTTTAGGCACAGAGGTCCTTCTTTAGGTCCTTGAAATTGCTGCAATAATGCTATTGCACATATTGCCCTGTTTCTAGGTGTATTAAACTGGAATGTGTGCTTTTTAAGATGAGAGTAGCAGTCTTCTGAATGTACTGAAAATTACTCGCTATTTCATAGTAGTAATCAGAAGCAATGAAAGCATTGAAATGCATTTGCTGTATCCTCCAAAGAAGTCGCAATGAATACAGATTGCAACGCTATCATATTTGCCTGAAGTCTAAATACATCCCTTGTTTGCAAACTTGGCCTGAGAAAACGGAGCTGGGAGGGACTTTAAGACATTGTCTGTCTCTCTGTCTGTCTCTCTGTCTCCCTTCTCCCCCCCCCCCCCCCCCCCAAGAAAGAATTGAGTACGTTTGAACCATGCGTATATTCAAAATGTTCTAAAAGGAAACCTGGTGAAGACTTTTTTGCCTCCACTGACAACTTCTTCCACTGTTTTCATGACCTTAATAGTAGAAAGCTTTTAGTAATATGTAAACTTTCTCTTTCACAATGAGTGCACACCCCTTTAGCTGGGGCATCTACAGAAATCAGTGTGTATGGATGGTTATGTGCTTAATGGAACAAAGCTTAAGGTTCTTTCATTTACTGTAAGTAAAATGAAGAACTGAATTTCCCGCTGGACAGGGAAGGTGCTCATTGTATGACACCTTTCTTTTTTTTTTGTGTTTTGGGGTAACACAGTACAGAGGTAGTAATGTAATCTCTCTGAGTCTACTTTTTATATTTATCTCTGTACGTATGTATCGATCTCTGTGGAAATGAGCCCTGCCAAGGAGCTTAAACCTAGTAATAGACTCAGTTTTTGTTGTGTCTCTGAGGAAAGCAGCTTACTGATTAACTGCTTTGTATCTCTGTGGCCGTATTTTACATACAGGAAGACGTCTTGAAGGATTCCACACCCTCCTCCTGCTCCCCAAAGTAAAAAGGGAGTTTTTTTGTTTAATGACCCTAGGCAGTCAGAGCATTCCAAAATGCCTATT